TAATATATAATGTTCTAACATGAAATGATACACAGACTAATGAAATCGGGACACCGGCGGTTACTCCAGCTTTGTTCCGAAAATATTAGAGTTTTACGCTTGTATACAATATTGACGCCGGAACTTCACTGTTCGGCACGTTATAATTTTACTAATTTCTAACTAAGCCAAGTGAAACATTCGACAAAGTCGACGACTGGAACTGAGTTTCTTCTAAATCAGCGCTGGGTGAACAGTGCATGTATTGTGTATAGACAGAGCCCAGTGTTAATCCGCGATCAGGCCCAGTGCTTTTAAATACCCTAATCACAATAACAGTGACCTCTATTATGTTCCGTGTATTTACATCGTACTTAAAGCCATAATCCACAACAAACATTCATTAATAAGGACACATATTCCGAATAATTGCAAGTAGTGATAAACCTCCACCACATTCACGGGGCAGATTAACCAGGCCTACACTGCTGCTGTAAATGGTGTCGTCAAAGAGCGGAACCTGCTTGTGTCTGCATCTGAAGACGTCGCGTGCACCAGCTGCAGGAGTTATTGACATGATCTAACTGGTGATGTGGCACGTCAGTGATGGCGTGATGATTGGGTGATGAGGACTCGCTGGACACAGTGAAAGGAAACAACTAGAGAGTATGTGATGTTCAAGTGATTCATTATCTGTAGTCTCTGATCAATATGCTCCTGGTAATTCACCTCACGTGTAAGAGTGATCCGAACATTGTATTGTTATGATCAGAAGACAAGATGTCCTTCACATCGACTCCCCGTTTATAATGCCAGTTGTATAGAACGCCAGTATGTGTAATTCCTTTCTGTATGTCGCAGTTCTTATTGTCTATGTCTGTGATTCGGGTAAGAGTATTCCCGCTTTTGTGCTTTTATCTTTGAATCCTATGAGAATCCCTCGTTCATAATGTCACTATGATTTATATCAGTGTATCTCTCGTTCATAACGCCCCTGTGATTCATACCAGTGTACCCCTTGTTTAAAATGCCCCTGTGATTCATATCAGTGTACCCCTTGTTTATAACGCATCTGTGATTTATATCAGTATGCCCCTTGTCTATAATGTCTCTGTGATTTATATCAGTATACCCAATATAGAACACACTTTATGGATAACAACTTCTTTTTATTCGTGAGTGCGACGATTCGATACAGATTCTTGTACCGTTGTCAAGCATAATAGAACATGAAGAGGGGGGAAGTATATATATGCTGGATGTAACAATATAACAAAGAAAATAACATAAATAATATAATTGGCTAGGCAGAAAGCTGATGAAGCCAAAGAGTAGACAAAAGGACAGGCGTGGAAGCCAATGATGTACAAATAATAATGAGATGTTTATACAGCAGAGTATGTCCTTTGTCTACTCTCTGGCTTCATCAGCTTTCTGCCTAGCCAATTATGATCCCGTTCATAACGCTCTGCTATTCATATCAGTGTATCCGTCGTTCATAACGCCCCTGTGATTTATATCAATATATCCGTCGTTCATAACGCCTGTTATCCATATCAGTGTATCCGTCGTTCATAACGCCCCTGTGATTTATATCAGTGTATCCGTCGTTCATAACGCCTCTGTTATTCATATCAGTGTATCCGTCGTTCATAACGCCCCTGTGATTTATATCAGTATATCCGTCGTTCATAACGCCTCTGTTATTCATATCAGTGTATCCGTCGTTCATAACGCCCCTGTGATTTATATCAGTATATCCGTCGTTCATAACGCCCCTGTTATTCATATCAGTGTATCCGTCGTTCATAACGCCTCTGTGATTCATATCAGTGTATCCGTCGTTCATAACGCCCCTGTGATTTATATCAGTATATCCGTCGTTCATAACGCCCCTGTTATTCATATCAGTATATCCGTCGTTCATAACGCCCCTGTTATTCATATCAGTGTATCCGTCGTTCATAACGCCCCTGTTATTCATATCAGTGTATCCGTCGTTCATAACGCCCCTGTTATTCATATCAGTGTATCCGTCGTTCATAACGCCCCTGTTATTCATATCAGTATATCCGTCATTCATAACGCCCCTGTTATTCATATCAGTATATCCGTCGTTCATAACGCCCCCTGTTATTCATATCAGTGTATCCGTCGTTCATAACGCCCTGTGATTTATATCAGTATATCCGTCGTTCATAACGCCCTGTTATTCATATCAGTATATCCGTCGTTCATAACGCCCCTGTTATTCATATCAGTGTATCCGTCGTTCATAACGCCCCTGTGATTTATATCAGTGTATCCGTCGTTCATAACGCCCCTGTTATTCATATCAGTGTATCCGTCGTTCATAACGCCCCTGTTATTCATATCAGTATATCCGTCGTTCATAAAGCCCCTGTTATTCATATCAGTATATCCGTCGTTCATAACGCCCCTGTTATTCATATCAGTGTACCCGTCGTTCATAACGCCCCTGTTATTCATATCAGTATACCCCTTGTTCACAATGCCTCTGTGATTCACACCAGAATACCCCTTGTTTATAGTATCACTGTGATTGATATGGAAGAGTCCCCGCTCATATGATTCTGTATATAAATCCAATGAATGCATCCCTCTTTCACAATGTATCTGTGGTTCATAATAGTATATCCCTTGTATGTAATGTCAGTGATTCATATCAGTATATGCCTCTTTCATATAGCCTCTGTGTTTCATATCACTATATCCCATGTTTATAACGCCCCTGTGATTCGTATCAGTACATCCCTTGTATATAATGTCCCTGTGATTCATATCAGTATATCCCTTGTTTATAACGCCTCCGTGATTCATATCAGTATATCCCTTGTATATAACGCCCCTGTGATTCATATCAGTATATCCCTCGTTCATAACGCCCCTGTGATTCATATCAGTGTGCCCCTTGTTCATAACGCCCCTGTGATTTATATCAGTATATCCCTTGTATATAACGCCCCTGTGATTCATATCAGTATATCCCTCGTTCATAACGCCTCTGTGTTTCATATCACTATATCCCATGTTTATAACGCCCCTGTGATTCATATTAGTATATCCCTTGTATATAATGTCCCTGTGATTCATATCAGTATATCCCTTTTTTATAACGCCTCTGTGATTCATATCGGTATACCACTTGTTTATAATGTCCCTGTGATTCATATCGGTATACCCCTTGTATATCACGCCCCTGTGATTCATATCAGTATATCCCTTGTATATGATGTCCCTGTGATTCATATCAGTATATCCCTTGTATATAACGCCCCTGTGATTCATATCAGTATATCCCTTGTATATAATGTCCCTGTGATTCATATCGGTGTATCCCTTATATATAATGTCCCTGTGATTCATATCAGTAGATCCCTTGTATATAATGCCCCTGTGATTCATATCGGTGTATCCCTTGTTTTTAATGTCCCTGTGATTCATATCAGTGTACCCCTCGTTCATAACGCCTCTGTGATTTATATCAGTGTGCCCCTCATTCATATCAGTATATCCCCTCGTTCATAACGTCCCTGTGATTCATATCAGTATATCCCTTGTATATAATGTCCCTGTGATTCATATCAGTAGATCCCTTGTTTATAATGTCTCTGTGATTTATAATGTTCCTGTGATTCATATCAGTATATCCCGTGATTATATAACGCCTCTGTGATTCATATCAGTATATCCCCCTTGATTTATATCAGTATATCCCATGTTTATCTGTGATTCATATCAGTGTATTCGTCGTTCATAACGCCGCTGTGATTTATATCAGTATATCCCTTGTTTATAATGTCTCTGTGATTCATATCAGTATATCCCATGTTTATAATGTCCCTGTGATTCATATCAGTATACCTCTCGTTCATAATGCCCCTGTGATTTATATCAGTATATCCCTCGTTCATAACGCCTGCGGGGCGGTGGGGTAGCCTAATGGTTAAAGTGTTGGCTCGTCACGCCGAAGACCCGGGTTCGAATCCCCACATGGGCACAATGTGTGAAGCCCATTTCTGGTGTCCCCCGCCGTGATGTTGCTGGAATATTGCTAAAAGCGGCGTAAAACCAAACTCAGTCAGTCAGTCAGTCATATGGCCTGCGTGATTCATATCAGTATACCCCTTATTTATAACGCCTCTGTGATTTATATCAGTGTGTCCCTTGTTTATAATGTCCCTGTGATTCATATCGGAATATCCCGTGTTTATAACGCCTCTGTAATTCATATCGCTATATCCCTTGCGTATAATGCCTCTGTGATTCTTACCGCTATACCCTCACTTAAAATGCATCTGTAATTTCTTTCAGTATAACCCTCGTTTAAAATACCTTTGTCTATGATTATTATGGGTGTATCCCAAGCTTATAATGCTTCTTTCCATAATTCCGATCGGGGAATTCCGGCATATAATGCCTCTGTCCACGTATGTATCCCTATGCATAATGCCATATATATAAATCCCGTATGTAGGAACCAGTTTATACCGCTTTCATCTGCAATTCCCCAATGCACATCCTCGTCTATGATGTGACTAGCTGTAATTCCATGTGTATGAATCCCCATTTTGCCTCAGCCACCAACGGTATCATAAGGACTTCTAACTACTAGTAAATAGGAATGCTACTGCCTGCTACTACCCCACAAGTCGCATGCCATAGGTTTAGTCTCAGTGTAAGCACTCTCACATCGCCTCTACAGATATGTTGCTTGAGTTTTGAATGCATGACAGAGCACTGCACGCTGCAGCTGTTCCAGTAGGTTCCGATTCAAAGCAGGTCAACATTTTCAATAAGCAACCCCAGAGACCGTATAACAGATAATTATTATATGGCCTCTGTCATGTACATTACTCATTGCAATAAAGTTTCATGTTTCCTATTGTTGCAATTTTCATCCAGTTCAGTGGAGATTGCTGAGCCGTAGCAGCTTTCGGCTTGAGAGTACATGGAGGGGCGTGTATGAATGGAATCTTCATCTGAACATAGTTTAAAGACATCCATCGTTGCAATTGTACTTATCCCATGTTATGTGACCAAGGGGCATAACTCTATTCAAACGTTGCTAATCCCTGGGGACATGTTTATTGGCGGGGACATAAATCACTCAGTTGAATTTGCAGCCTATGGAAATCCATAACCTGCCATTGTCACCGCATCTCCATTCAGTACACAATCCAGCTGTATTGACATACCAAATCAACACCTGCTGGAGACAACAACGCCTGGTTACTTTCCACGGTAATACAAGACTAATCCGCCTATTCATTCAACAGGCCAGTCACCATTGGGCGGATAATAATCATCGGGGGTACAATTTGCCAAGTCACCGGTAGCGTCGTGGCCTCGCGAGCTCGCCACATGTGACAGTGTTTTCAATGTTTCAGTGGGAGACATCGGGATATGTACGCCATCGTAAACGTTCTGGAAGGCAACAAACGAGGAACGAAGCGACATGCCACAGTCGTGGCAGATTGGGGAGCGCGGTAAGCGGTTCAAGACATTTAAAAGAAGGTATTAAAAATTTAAATTTAATCAAATTTTTTTAAAAACTGTTAAACCTATGTGGACATTTAATCATAGTAAAGTGTGCGTTTAAATCCTATGTAAAGCATGTCATATCAACAAGTAGTTTAATAATGATAGCGTGAATTGAATGGTTCTGTCATCATTAATTGAATGCTTCTGTCAATAATTGAATGCTTCTGTCATCATTAATTGAATGCTTCTGTCATCATTAATTGAATGCTTCTGTCATCATTAATTGAATACTTCTATCATCATTAATGGAATGCTTCTGTCATCATTAATTGATATGCTTGTATCATGTATGTAGTGCCTATGCAACATTTCAATTCAGTTTGCTTTTATTAATTTTGTTCCGAGCGAGAGCAACGATAGTTATAGAGTGTTGAACTGATGAACCATGGTCACAACATTGAAGGTAGTCACAGAATCTGCATGTTTCAGTTTAATCTAAGACTTGCATATAGTTGTCAATCAAGGGTGATTTACGACAATCGAACTTGTCAATCAAAACATCCCACAACACACACACAGAAACTGATTTCAGTTTACTGACATCCGAGGTAAATACGGGATATGTTACTCCACGTACTGTTGGGACATAGTGCAGCATAGCATGTCGTAATGGCTACTCTGGTTGAGCAGTTGAAATTATGTCAAGCATGGCAACATTAGCAAATGTACACAAGCCCGATATTTGAGGTCACACGGCGTGCTGTGACAGCTGCCAGGATATTGTGTTACGTTCTCCCTTACTGTCCCCATCAGTTATCGAAGTGTTCTTGTTTCAGAAATGACAGTCAGGAAAATAGTGATACGGTGAGTGTTGAAAACCTTTCTTTTACAATATTTATAAATTGTATTTAAATATTTCAATCTGATATAATCAAGTCAATATGATGTAAATTTCACCAATCTACACAAAACATTTGTGATTTTGTTCATATTCCCGGCCTCGTCTGTATATATAATGTACAAATCAAGAAAATAATGAGCTTCGATTATCTGCCGGAACAGATCCCATTGAACGTGAAAGGCAAATTAGCGGTGACAATTATGTTAATGCATCTCATACATCAGTAATGATTGTCACGAAAACAAGAATAAAGTGAAAACCTGGATGATATAATTCACCCCTGACACATTATACAATCTGGATATTTTAAAGAAAACGACCCCATAGGATAGTTAAGAAACAGTTGTATAGCATAGTTGTCGTATCTGCTAGGTAGCGCGGTATCCTTTAACAACACCAACGCGACGTTTTTGCATTAAATATTCACCACTGTACCTGACGGTTATAGGAGTTTAATTAGTCTAGAGTATTTGTAATGCACGTTGCTGACATGTTGTCAAACAGCATGTGTCACATCACGTTTCATTTCCTTATTGTTTTTCTTCTCACGCGGTTGTCTAAAGTTTTAAGAGGCATTTGAAAATCACAGCGGGCACTGTGTACTGACACAAGAGGTTTGAGAATGTCATTGTGACATATTCGTATGAACGACAGATGTATTGTATATTTACCTAGAGATTGACATGCTGTCACCAAGATGTAAATACATAACATCAACAACATACTTTCCATGTCCGTGTCTGTATGTACATACATTGCAGTCGAGGCGTTTATTGACGCATGTCCCACCGCCTGCGTCATTGTACGTAATAAATTCTCGATCGTGTCCGTGTACGATGCAAATATGATCTCAATGGTAAACTTGAATGCATTTGAATTACCTTTATTTGAGATAGACCTGCATGTATGGATAATTAGGAATACTGTGTTACTGAGTCCATGGACGTTGAATGTTGTGGTTGAACAATGCCGAGAAAGGACATAAACCTGTTCAGGACAAATATGGTGAGAGGTGTCAATTATCGACGGAGATGGTTGTCCGGCTCATGTATGCATTTGATCATTTGGCCTCAGCGAGTATAATGTACAACCTAGACTAACGCTAAGTCTCTGAATATATGTCATTTTTACTTGTGACAGATAAACCCATTTAAATTGAAAAGGAGCCCCAGGGAGACCAGAGATTCGAACCTGGAGAAATCCAGACTTGCTTCATTTAGGGCTCTTGATAGCATTGCAGGGAGGGCTAGGCTGTAGGAGAAATAATATGGTTCGGGGACTGTGAGACAGACTATGTACGACCGAATCGTTTAGTCTGCTTTATAAGGTCTTGTTTAACCTCTGTATGTCATGTGACAACCATATTCTCAGTAGTAAGGTGTGTGTTTTATCTTAGTTTTTTATATCTTACTGCAGAGCTCCAGATAAGATTTAGCTCATGTGGGTACTGTACCCACTGTATTTTTTTGGAGTGGGTATTATGAATGTTGAGTGGGTATTTCATTTTCCGTTACCCACTGCTTTCAAATATGTGGGTATTTCAGTGATTTTACTCACCTAAGTATATGTCATTGAGTATGTTTACCAAGCAGTTATGTTCTGCCTTACGTCATACCTAATGAAAACCAACTTAAATATTAGGGAAATGATTTCATAAAAAATCACTCATCCTGTACTGACAGTACAACACTAGTCCTATACTAACAATACAACTTGATATCAATCGATGTCTTTTTCATTACGCAAGTGATTTTTATAGATATATTCCGTACGCATATGTTTTAAACTTTGTGCTTATCTAACATTTTAAATGCGTAATTGGTACGCAACAATTATTTTTCAATGCGTAATTGGATATTTTCTGTGCGTATTTTACCCAAATACGCAGCTAATCTGGGCCTCTGAATAATTACTCTTTTATTAGTGTCACTGTCCTGACGACTTGTATACTGGAGGTAAGGTATCCAGCAAGTCTTTTCTTTGTGTTACATACCCCTAACATTACGTCCGACAAACCACTGCTCCCTCGGTGCTTGATTAGCCTCTACTCAACACCTTTACTACCCCTGTTCTGAAGGGGCTTGTTATCTCTACGCCGTAGTACGTCATCAATTCTCGATCGTGTCCATGTACAATGCAAATATGATCTCAATGGTAAACTGCATTCCAATTACCGTTATTTGAGATAGATTCGATGCATGGATAATTAGGAATATTGTATTACTGAGTGTATGGACGTTGAATGTCGTTGATTGAACAATGTCGCCGAGGCCATAAACTTGTTAAAGATAAATATGAAACTTGTTTTGTAACACCTTACAACATGGACGACCTTCATTAACATCGTCTGTCGAGAAATCAGTTCCTGGAACCTACAGCCCGTACTGTACCTGTTGTATGTACATTCTGTGTGTAAATAATATTCCCGGGAAAACTCCGGGGTGACTCTGCCTCATCGTCTGTGGAGAAATCAGTTCCTGGTACCTACAGCCCGTACTGTACCTGTAGTATGTACATTCTGTGTGTAAATAATATTCCCAGGGAAACTCTGGGGTGACTGTCTCATCGTCTGTCGAGAAATCAGTTCCTGGAACCTACAGCCCGTACTGTACCTGTAGTATGTACATTCTGTGTGTAAATAATATTCCCAGGGAAACTCTGGGGTGACTCTGTCTCATCGTCTGTCGAGAAATCAGTTCCTGGAACCTACAGCCCGTACTGTACCTGTAGTATGTACATTCTGTGTGTAAATAATATTCCCAGGGAAACTCTGGGGTGACTCTGTCTCATCGTCTGTCGAGAAATCAGTTCCTGGAACCTACAGCCCGTACTGTACCTGTAGTATGTACATTCTGTGTGTAAATAATATTCCCAGGGAAACTCTGGGGTGACTCTGTCTCATCGTCTGTCGAGAAATCAGTTCCTGGAACCTACAGCCCGTACTGTACCTGTAGTATGTACATTCTGTGTGTAAATAATATTCCCGGGGAAACTCTGGGGTGACTCTATCTCGCACAGTAAATCTAACGATGTACTATTTTCTTTCAGTAGCCTTTGAATTGATTTAATGTTAACATATACACAGCATTTGTAATAATTGTACTCCCCGTAACCATTGGAGGAAGTAAAGATCATTCTTTCATTCACTCAGTGTCCATTATCGACGGGGGATAGTTGTCCGGCATTTGTAGTGCATTTGGTCATCTGGCGAGTGTAATGTACAATGGAATCGTTTAGTCTGCTTTAGAAAATGTCTTGTTTCATTTGTTTATGTATTGTGCCAATCATACTGCCAAAGGTAAGGTGCGTGTTTTATCTGTTTTTATCCGATACCCTTGTTTTATCTGAGTCAATGACCTGGCGACGCGTACACTGGAAGTAAGGTATCAAGCTAGTCTTTGTGTTACATACCTCAAACATTACGTCCGACAACCCACTGCTCCGTCGGTGCTTGATGTGCCTCTACTATACACCTTTACGATCCCTGCTCTGCATGTGGTTGTCCTCCCAAGCACTCTTTACTACAACTGCTCTGCAGGTGGTTGTTCTATCACTACTATTTAAACTGTACTACCACCTCTCTGAATGTGGTTGTTCTACCACTGTACTACCACTACTCTGCATGTGGTTGTTCTACCACTGCTATTCAAACTGTACTACCACTGCTCTGCAGGTGGTTGTTCTACCACTCCTATTCAAACTGTACTACCACTGCTCTGCATGTGGTTGTTCTACCACTCCTATTCAAACTGTACTACCACTGCTCTGCATGTGGTTGTTCTACCACTGCTATTTAAACTGTACTACCACTGCTCTGCAGGTGGTTGTTCTACCACTGCTATTTAAACTGTACTACCACTTCTCTGCAGGTGGTTGTTCTACCACTGCTATCTAAACTGTACTACCACTTCTCTGCAGGTGGTTGTTCTACCACTGCTATTTAAACTGTACTACCACTACTCTGCAGGTGGTTGTTCTACCACTGCTATTCAAACTGTACTACCACTACTCTGCAGGTGGTTGTTCTACCACTGCTATCTAAACTGTACTACCACTGCTCTGCAGGTGGTTGTTCTACCACTGCTATTCAAACTGTACTACCACTACTCTGCAGGTGGTTGTTCTACCACTGCTATTTCAAACTGTACTACCACTACCACCTCATCTCTGCAGGTGGTTGTTCTACCACTGCTATTTAAACTGTACTACCACTGCTCTGCAGGTGGTTGTTCTACCACTGCTATTCAAACTGTACTACCACTGCTCTGCATGTGGTTGGCTATGTTCTACCACTGCTATTCTAAACTGTACTATCCAAACTGCGGGTACTACCACTATTCAAACTGTACTACCACTCTGCAGGTGGTTGTTCTACCACTGCTATTTAAACTGTACTACCACTACTCTGCAGGTGGTTGTTCTACCACTGCTATTCAAACTGTACTACCACTGCTCTGCAGGTGGTTGTTCTACCACTGCTATCTAAATTGTACTACCACTGCTCTGCAGGTGTTTGTTCTGCCACTGCTATTCAAACTGTACTACCACTGCTCTGCAGGTGGTTGTTCTACCACTGCTATTCAAACTGTACTACCACTGCTCTGCAGGTGGTTGTTCTACCACTGCTATTTAAACTGTACTACCACTGCTCTGCAGGTGTTTGTTCTGCCACTGCTATTCAAACTGTACTACCACTTCTCTGCAGGTGGTTGTTCTACCACTGCTATTCAAACTGTACTACCACTGCTCTGCAGGTGGTTGTTCTACCACTGCTATTTAAATTGTACTACCACTTCTCTGCAGGTGGTTGTTCTGCCACTGCTATTTAAACTGTACTACCACTGCTCTGCATGTGGTTGTTCTACCACTGCTATTCAAACTGTACTACCACTGCTCTGCATGTGGTTGTTCTGCCACTGCTATTCAAACTGGATTGTTTAGTCCAGACCAGTTATTTACAGAC